TCGCCTCGTGGAGTCCTTTCGGCTACTGGAGAGGATGTCTTGCACTGCCAATCAGCATTCTCATGCTAATAGTGGTGTCCATCCAAACATCATGCTGTCAGGTGTAGCATCCATGGATCTGGATGCCTGATGCCTAGATGCTGGTGTGTTGTGTCAGCAGTTCCGGAAATGTCTGGAGTGGGAGTGGAGGTTGTTTCGACATGCAGATAAGAGGAGGGAACCAGAATTAGTGAGGCCAGAATGGAGTGATCAGAATGGCCATCGCTCTCTCCCACCAGAGTTTGTAGAGGACACAGGATAGGAGTGTGTGTGTGTGGGGGGGGGGGAGGTGTAGTTTGTCCGGTGTGACCAATCGACAACCAGAGTGTCACCCAGTGAGCAGGCACTGAGTCCTCTGCTGGAGTAATATTGGGTGCATTTGATCTTGGTGTGAGATGCAAAGAGGTCTCTAATTCACGTTCTGCATGCCAGGCAGGTAGGCTGCTGACAAAAGAATATGATGTTCAATGCACCATTCCCAGAGGCAAATCACTTCCATAAACAGCACTGGGGACCTCATGTCCCGTTGTTTATGTAGTATACTGTGATGGTGTTGTCTGATGACGAAGACGTGACGATAGCTGGTAAGAACACATGCTTTGTGTACTGCCCGAAGTTTGAGAATGTTTATGTGCATCCTGGCCTCTCGCATGGTCCAGGTGCTTTGTCATGTAATCTTTAATATGAGTGCCCCGGCCTGTTATGACTGTCACAGTCAGCAAGGATGGAAGGAAGGGCATCTAGCAGCAGACTTGTATTGGGTCTGTCCAACACACTGAAGAGAAGGGACGACCTCCGATGGAACGTTGATGGATTGGTGTCCATGGATTGGTGCATAGGAGAATAGACTCTTTGCAGCCATAGCTGTAGACAGCAAAAGGTGCAGGCGGGCAAAGGGTGTATGTGCACGCCACCATGTGCCCTAGGTTGGAGAGGCAGGTACTGGCTGAGACCGAAGGGCTGGAGGTTATCAGGGCTATTTGGTTCAGTAGGCTCTGGAATCTGTCCTGTGGCAGATATGCTCATGCGGAGATGCATGATGCACAGTCCTATGAATTCCAGGGACTGAGTAGGGTGCAAAGTTGATTTTTCTATGTTGCTGTTAACTCCTAGCAGAGAAGAAGCTGGGATGTCAATGCTTGAGCTTCCTCTTTGGACTGCACTGCCAGCAGTCAGTCATCCAGGTATGGAAAGGAAAGGATTCCCTGATGTTGTAGGTGAGCCGCTATCCCCAGAGAAAACCTTTGTAAAAATTTGTTGGGCAGTGGTGCGTCCAAATGGGAGAATCCTGTATTGGAAGTATTGATGCCCCGCTTTGAACCTCAGGAGCCTTCTGTGGGTCTGATGTACATTGATATGGATGTAGGCATCTTGCATGTTGAGAGCCATAAACCACAGGGCTTTTTCTACTGAGGGAATGACAGTTGCAAGCATGACCATACAGAATTTCGGCATGCGAATTGAGCAGGTGAGGTGTTGGAGATGCAAGATTGGCTGCATTCCCCTTTCTTCTTGGGTACCAGGAAATAGTTGGAATAGAACCCTGTGCCCCAAAAGGCTGCAGGGATTGACTCCTTTGCTCCTCTCTGTAGGAGGGAGTCCACCTCTAGGGTAAGAATACTGTCAATGAGAGGGATCTCCATGCCGGGGGGGTCAGGGTGGGAGATGTAGAGGCGCAGTCAAACTCTATGGTGTAGCAGTGTTGAACCATGTGCAAGACCCACTTACCCATTGTTCTAGCTCTCCAAGCTGGTAGAAAGAGTTTGAGACCACCCACAGAAGGTATGGAGGGTAGGAGTGTTGGTGTATGGAGTGGCTGATGGCTCTCTAGGTGCACTCTGAAACACCATTTTCGCGATTACTGAGTGTGTTGTGCAGAGGTCTGCGTTGCCAGAACAGGCGGATGGGCTCTATGTACCTTAGGGCGCTTCTGAGGAGGTTTGTATGTCCGTTAGTGGTAGAAGTGAGGAGTTTTATAGCATTGGGCTGGTAGTGGACAATAAAATTTTCTCTTTGATGCTGGTGTATATAAGTCCGAGGATAATAAGGTGGTTCTAGAGTCTTTTAGAGAGTGCAAGGAAGTATCAGTTTTCTGGTTGAAGAAGTGTGATTCGTCAAAGGGAAGGTCCTCAACTGTGTTCTGCACCTCTCTAGGGAAACCTGAGGAGCGTAACCAGGATTTCCTCCTCATGACAATTCCAGTCGCTAATACACGCGAGAATGTGTCCGCTGAATCAACTGCAGCCTAAAGTATGAACCTGGCAAACTACTTGCCCTCCCTGTCTGCTGGGGTGGAGCGTGGGTGTTGTTTGGTCTGCTCTGACACAGCTTCTACCAAAGAGTTAGGTGAAGGGTGCGAAAATAAAAATTCTGACCCTTTGCAAGGGTGGCGGGGGCATAGTACCTTTTCTCAGCCTCCTTTGGGGTCAGTGCAGTCATGGCCAGGGTATGCTACATGGTGCATGCCAGTTGAAGAATGGCATCATTGCTTGGTAAGGCCACCCTTTCCAATGCCAATACGTGCAGAATGTCTAGTAACTGGCACTGACTACTCTGCACCTCTTCCAGTGGCATCTCAAGAGCATTGGCTATTCTCCATAGGAGTTCTTGAAACTGACAACAGTGAGCTAGCAGGGAGGAAGGTGTCCATGACACAACTGCATCTGGAGACCACAAAGGGAATCTCTCTGGATCCACTGGCACCATCGAAGCCGGGCTGATCGGTGCATCGTCTAACCCCATTTCCGAATATCTATCGGATGAAGGGTTGGACGGTGAAACAGGGAAGTTCTCCCAAGCTGAATGAGACTGTTCCTAAGGCGAATATTTGGGCCAACATGGCCAACTCAGTTGATCCTGCTGCTGTTGTACTTGTGCCCAAAGAGCCGGATACCAGCTTCTTGGATATGGCAAAGGAGGAAACTGCCATGGAGCCATCGGAACCCTCAGGTAGTTGTGTTTCCAGAACAGAGGCAGCAGACTGAGCCAAACGTTCTGGTCTTCGGAGTCTTGCATGAATGGCGGTGCTGATGGAGCCATCAGAACGGGATGCATTAGAAAGGTATAGCCAGCAGGAGGTAGATATAATGCAAGAGATGGAGCCCTCTGCAGAGGTGAGTGCACCAGAACATGTGGAGACCACACTCCTTCCAAGGCTAACAGTTCGTGAGGCCAGGAGCACTTCCGATTTTTCCCCAGAGTCAATGGTATCCTGTTTATTGACAGGACCAGAACTGGTAAAGGGGCGTGGTCTCAGGACTGAAAATTTGCGGGACGCTGGCAGAGCGGAGGCAGGTGGGAAACAGCATCGGGGATCTGGTGAGCGGTGTGGCCTCTTATCACTCTTGTGTGCCTTGGAGCGAGTAGCTCCTCCGTGGCTGGAACTCATGGATGATGCAGTGTCCTTCTTGGGTTTAGATGAAGACTTACCGCTATGCTTATGCGCGTGATTCCATGGCTCATGGCTAGGCCCCGACATGGGGTCTGTAGCTTTGGTAGCAGCAGATCCAGACAGAGGCTCCGCAGTACCACTCTTGGATTGCTCAGGCCAATGTACGGGGGATTCTGTGGCCAGGATCCGACTTCAGGACCACAGCTACCTCCATGAGGTGTTTCTGGAGGCGGAGAGATTGGGCTTCCCCTGTACACGGGAAGGAGGAGGAGCAGATACTGCACCTGGAAGCAATGTGGACTTTCCCCAAAGAGTACAAACAGCATTGGTGTTTGTCACTGATGGAAAATGAACAAGGGCAGGAAGCACAGACTTTGAATCCCGGTGTCTTTGGCATAATCCAGTACCCAGACCCAGGAGCTTGGGGGGAAGTGGGGGTGAAAGAGAGATTTGTTTGATGAGAAAAACAGCCAGAGCGGCATCCAAGGTCCTTATTTATAAAAACTGCTCGGAATTACTAAAGTACAATGAAAAACACTACAATCCTAACTACAAACAAAAATAAGAACTCTTTTTGTAAAATATTTTGAAAATGCGTCACTAAGAACAAGGGGTCAGCAGATGCTCTGACTCAGACCATCCAGCGGTGAGAAGGAACTGAAGAAACCACAAGGCAATACAAGGACATATGCACAAACCACCAAGCAATACTACTTGGAAAAGCTCTGGCTCTGGGTGCATGGCATATGTGCAGTGGAATGCAATAGGGACCATCACTTAAAGAATTATGTCTTTCCATTTCCCATGCCTTTTCTCTTCCTCAGTGACTTGTCTTATCAGTTCAGACTGTAAACTCTTTCGGGCATGGAAAAGGTCATTACTCACGGAGTTCAGTATCACGCAGTCCTATGGCATTGCATTACAGATGTCAAATAACCATAATCAGCAAAATACTTATGCTTTATAGAAAACTTCAATAACTTTTCAGACATATTTCAAAAAAGTTAGAAGTCTCTAAAAGTAAAACGATTTATATATTATGCTGCCTGGAATTGTATAAGATATCATCATCAATTTTCCATTTAAATTTAAGTGAGACAAAGCCAGTCTATGTTAATAAAGTCAGACAAATATAAATAAAAAAAAAGCATATTTAACTAAAAGTTTACTTACAAACTCAAACCTTCAAATAAATATCAAGCATTATGTTTAACTTCAATTTAACTTGATTTCTACTCAAACCAAAATTAAACCTAAGACCATGTTTTATTTTCTTCCTGATTTAAGAGCAGATGATTTTAGCCAGTCTACATATACAGAATTTAAAATCTTCTAATATTTAAGACAACTCAATCAAAACAAATTACAACCAGAAGTGTTTTAAAATAGACTAATTGTCCTTTGGATAATTACTGAATTATGAAGAAAGCTGGTAGAACTGAATGTTTTATTATAGGTAAAGACACAGAATCAACATAACAAGAGGGAAAGGATAATACAGTCTTTTCTTTATGGGGAAATTTCATTGCTATTATTTTTCAGACCACCAAATTTTAAGACAAATACTCACCAAGTCTCTCCTAAGTTGAATAAAAAACTGTTTGCACTTAAAAGAAATTTTTACAATCTTCAACCTAAATGAAAAATGAAATAAAATCAGAATATTTATACACTTTTAGTATAATAAAATCATATTAAAACAATTATGGTATATTTATTGAAAGGTATGTTTTTTTTTTTTTTACAGAGAACTAATTTAATTCATATGAAATTTCATTTGGCAGGAAATAGCTAAAAAGAATAATGGCTATATTAGTAGTTTGCATGATTTAAGTTTTGTAAACGAAGGCACTCTCCCGATGTACATTTCATTGGTATGTTGGTAATTTTTTAAATAATTGTTCCACATACATATCTTTCAGTATTACTGTAAATCCCTAATAAATTCTCTATTATTTTTAAGAGCTTCTGTTACTTACTGAGAAATCACCATCTCTGCAGGGGTCATATCTTATTTATTAGAAACATACTACAACAATGTCGAAGCAATAACTAAATTTAGGTGAAACTCCTGGGATTAATGTGTCACTTAAAAGAAAGTTAGAGGCTGGTATATCTATATAGTCATGAATAAGTTGCAATTCATTTTGTAAAATTAAGTCTAGTTTTTAAAATGTAAAATATTCTTAGAACAGAATATTTCAATATACTTTTTTTAAAAGCCCCCTTGTACATTACTAATTGAAGATCACTTACTAATTCCTGTATTCTATCCATGCCAGAGCAGCTTTCTGAAATAATGGCAACATCTGAAAGTTGGAGTTCTCATTACAATACATCCTGCTGTGTTTTACTACTTTAGACTACTTTAAGAGATTTTCTGCTGCTCTGTTAAAGCAACTTCCTGTGACCTATGGAATGGAGGCTGCTTCCTTGTTGCTGAAGAAGTCCCTTTATCTAGTAAAGTCAATTACAGCACAGGAACCCAAGGTCAAGTGTATTCTTTGACAAGTGCTGCCACCTTGTTATATGCAACTTGCTCATTCTGACAAAATGCTATGGTCAGTTATAAGGAACTGAGGGGAAAGAGAATCTCTAATTGTACAAGCTAGTGAAGCAGGTCCTTTATGTCAAATTCCAGGACAGTCAGCCTGAAACACAGGCCTTAGACCTACCATCAAATTCTTTTAGTAAAGAATTTGTTAATGGGCTTGTATCCCTGTTTAAAAAGTAACTGGACTCATGGCAGATACATATGCTATAAACAGTTACAATACACCTTTCCCAAATTTTGGAAAACCTACTGAATGAAAAGATACAGGTTTGTTGAAATAAAAAAAATCAGAACAGAAATGTTACAAAATACCTGCTTTTCCCTCAGAACTAAATCAATGGCTATTATAAGAATAAATACAAAAATAGTCAGTTTATGCAGACAGTTATGTTAAGTGAAGTTTCTTCAATGTGCTCCCATAGTAACCCACTGATGTCCTGTCATCATTTCAATAAGAGTCCCCTTCCCACTAGATCTACGAAAAAGCCTTATCACAAGTGTAAGTAAGACAAAGAGTAAGGGACTAGGAAAACACTCCTCTGGGTGTTTTCCTTTTGAACAAGAACTTTTCCACAAAACCAAGCAAAGAAGCACGATCACTGGGTAAACAAACCTGTATGAAGTGCACTTATTAACTGGAATTTATACCATATTTTGTTAAATCAAAATTATATGGGATATAATGACAACTTTCAACTTCTGTAATTTGAAGAAGATGGCAATGATATAATGCGGGGTGGGCAAACTAAGGCCCTCGAGCTCCCGCTGGGGAGCAGGGGCTAGGGCTTGCCCCGCTCCGGCACTTCAGCCGGAGAGCAGGGTCGGGGGCCGCGCCACATGGCTCCCGGAAGCAGCGGCATGGCCCCCCTCCAGCTCCTACGCGCTCCAATGGCCCCCTCCGGCACTCCACTGGGAGCTGTGGGGGCAGTGCCTGCGGATGGGGCAGCATGCAGAGCCGCCTGACCGCACCTCCACGTAGGAGCCAGAGAAGGGACATGCCGCTGCTTCTGGGAGACGCTTGAGGTAAGCGCCGCCTGGAGCCTGTACCACTGAGCCTCTCCCCACGCCCCAACCACCTGCCCCAGCCCTGATCCCCCTTCCGCCCTCCGAACCCCTCGGTCCCAGCCCAGAGCACCCTCCTACACCCCAAACTTCTTATCCCCAGCCCCGCCCCAGAGCCCACACCTCCAGTCAGAGCCTGCACCCCAACCTCCTGCCTCAGCCCTAATCACCCTCCCGCCCTCTGAACCCCTCGGTCCCAGCCCAGAGCACCCTCCTACACCCCAAACTTCTCATCCCCAGCCGGAGCCCTCCCCTCCCAAATCCCACTCCCCCACCCTAGCCCCAAGACCACTCCCACACCCTGAACTTCTCATTTCTGGCTCCACCCCAGAGCCTGCACCCCCAACCAGAGCTCTCACCCCCTCCTACACCCCAACCCCAATTTTGTGAGCATTCATGGCTCACCATACAATTTCTATTCCCAGATGTAGCCCTCGGGCCAAAAAGTTTGCCCACCCCTGATCTAAAGGGTACCAGGCCATACTCCTCTGGGTGTTTCTGAAAATACTTGCCATCCAGCACAATTTGCTCCATTCAAAAGGCAATAAAATTTACTCCTGAGAAGATTTTTTTTTAAATGAGGTCCAAAGATAAGCTGTGTCAGTCAGGGATGATGGAGCAATATTTGAAAATGAAGTGAAAAGCACCACGGTCAGGAAATCATCCCAACCCTCCCTTTAATTTGGTGACAGAATCTTGACAAGTGGGTCAAAGTCACCTTGAACCTTCACCAGCATGCCAGCTATGGAACTTTTCATGTTCTCTGTATGTATAAATATCTTCTGTCTGTGTGTTCCACTCTATGCATCTGAAGAAGTGAGCTGTAGCCCACTAAAGCTTATGCTGAAATAAATTTGTTAGTCTCTAAGGTGCCACAAGTACTCCTGTTCTTTTAGCTATGGAACTGTTTCCCTGGTTACACTTGCCAAATTCTGCTTCACCTCTTTCTCCAGCTTTGTGATATAACTGAGGTCAAAGGAAAATGACCATCACCCATTTACTCTTAAGAATAAAATAAATTGCTAATAAAGTTAATGAGGTGCAAAACTAGCTTTATAAACCTAGGATAAAGTCCATGCCAAGTAACTGGTTAGCAAGTACACAAAGCATTACAAACATAATCAAGGTGTATTCAGACTTTGCCAAGTATGCATTTTTTGATCTCTAAGCACATTCAACATAAAAAAAATTAAGCCTATCACAACCTTCCCAACTCCTTCGACCCAGGAAAAATCTGAGAAAACAAGATCAGCAAATCCAGACACTGGTGAACAAAGGTGAGGAGAAATCTCACTCCATCACTGACCGCAGCCTGGATTAATCAGGTTATTAACCACACAAAACAGTTCCGCTGACTGTGACTTTGCTGATGCTAGATGTGAAGAAACTTCTCTGCATCCTTCTGCCACAGGCATGGTGTAAGATTTCAAAATTTCATTATGCAGCAATTGATAGAACTCAGACCAAGAGACTGTCTGGTATCTAGCCTTTTGCTTCATCAGTTGCAAGTCAACTAAATACAATGGGAACTCGTGAGGAAGGAGCCAAGGAAAAGAGTGTTTAGGATGGTACAGGAGAACATCTTACTAGATCATTGACAAAGTTGTCCATTAGCCAATCGTTTCTTTAGCCTGCAAAACACACACACACACACACACACACACACACCCCTTCCTTATCTCTAATCCTAGCCTCAAAATCAAGATACAGAGTGTGACCAACTATATAAACTGCATCAGAAAGCAGGGGCAGACCCACGTTGGTGTCATGTTAGCCAGTAAATCCTGACCTAACCTATAGCATTCATCCTTCAAGTGCATATTCAAATTATTCAGAATTTAGAACAAATTAAGAGACTTCAAATGATACTGCAGAAAACAATCCACAGGCACTCAGATAATACTATGACTTGGGGGGAGCGGGCACATAAATAGATCAGGATTGCATCAACTCAAGGAGGGACTTTTTGGTGAAGCAAGATCATCTGTACACATATGCAGATCTCCTCACAATATTGATGCATCCTAAAATTCGCACATAAAGTGGATATGCTGTATCAGATCGATCTGTATCTCCAGGGAATCTGCAATCCTCGTAAACAGTTCCTGGAACTGTTTAAAATCATCCCCCATGGTGGGCATGATTGTTTCATTCAGGGAAGAGGATGAAAATTTGGCACCTGGTGCAGGGTCCTGGTCCAAAGTCTCCTTTAATTCCTTGACTGCCTCTCCCGGAGGGTCAGATGGTCCAGGTACAAAGGGTGAAGAAGAATGCCTCAATCTCATCCTGAGTGGACTGGGAGGCTTAGGGTATTGTTGGCAGTACTCTGCCCATGCATCCCAGAAAGGACACTGTGGTAGAAATGGCATCCATATGTGGCATCTATATGTGCCTGTACCAGCCTGGAGTTTTAAGTCCTGGGTGATAATCATCACGTTCTTGTGGACCTTGTCTAGTAGCTGTGTGGGTAGGTGAGGAGTAGATTTTCCCTTCATTCTCATCACTAGATAAAGGAGGAGCTGATCTGTGCAGTGTAGTAAGTTGCCTTGGTACCGAGCATGCAGCACTGAGGTCGCTACCAAGGAGTGGAGACTCCGGTGCTGAGGAGACCAGAAGATCTTTGTGGCAGAGAAACTGTTGCGGTACTGAGAGCATCAGTACCGAAGAAGGTGTTGTCAGCGGTACCGATGACTTTGCCACGGTTGTTGGTGCCAAGGGTCATGCAGAAGGTGGCGCCACAGCCTGTAGCATTGCCGAGCTGCTCGGTGCCACATGTTTGAGTGGCTCCGGTGGTACCGAGACAGGGATTGTAGATCTCCCTTTACTGCCTTTTTCCAAGCCAGCCTGCTTAGGGTCTTTTGCTTGCGTGGTACTCACGGTACCGGATGGTCCCGCTACCTCAGAGGTGGAAGGTCTTGGTGCAATTGATACCAATGGAGACTACTGAGTCGGCGCTTTTTGGCGTATTCCCAAGGAGGGGAGTTCGGAACCCGCTTCTTTGCTGCCTTCTTGGCAGAGTGCTCCTTCCCCTGAGCGTGTGGAGGAGAACCTGTCAGATGCCGCTGTAGGAAACTGTTGCCCCAGAGGGGTCCGTGATCCCGGATTGGACGTGGGCCATAAAGACTTCTCCATCATGAGAAGTTTTAGCTCTATGTCTCTCACCTTTCTGGCACGGACTTTCAAGTTGTGGCAGTGGGAGCACTTTTGAGGTACGTGTGTCTCACCGAGGCAGCAAACACACAGAGTGCCCATCACAGACTTAGATTGAGAAGCAGCAAGTGAGGCAACATTTAAAACGGGGGGAGGTGGGCATGCCCCTCAAAGGAGGGTTCCTCTCATGAGGGAGGGTAACTATGCTACACCAAGGGGTGTCCTAACAACTGAAATTTAAATTCCTTAGGGGGGAAAAAAAAAGTGGTTTTGTTTGTTTTTTTAAGAAAATAAACAGGGATGGGTAAGTAATTATTGACTAACTATTAACTAACCAGCTAGTATTCTAAAGTTAAACTAGAGTAAGCTAAAGTACAGAGACACTGCTAAATGCTCCGTCTCAAGCTAAGGGCAGTAGAGAAGGAACTGAGGGAAGGTTGGTCACACAGCACTATGTACCTGCCAGAGGTGATGTGAGACAGAGACAACGCATGTGCGACCCAACCAGGCACTGCTACTAAAAATCTCCGATTACAAGCGTGGGGAAGCAGATTCACCTAAAGTGACCACAGGGACACTCCTTGAAGAAGAACTAACTGACTTGCTCCAGGTCACACGGGAGCTTTGTAGTGGAGCAGGAACCTGAACTCAGGTCTCCTGAATCCCAGGCTAGAACTTTAACCATTGAGATCACAAAAAACAGAGATCACAAAAATCTCTAGATGCATTATCTTTAAGGGTAAGAAATATTTCCTTATATTTAAGTTTTTTCTGTTACTTAAGAAACTTAAAGAGAAGACCTGAAACAGATGCTGAATCATGTAATTTTCAGGAATACTCAGCACCCACAGCCACAGATAGATTTAATCAAAAGCTCAGAATAGAAGAACTATTTCATCAATGCAGAAACACTTCACAGTTTATAATTAAGTGGCTCTTAGCAGAATTACCACATTGACTAAAGTGATCATAGTGTAATACAGTTCTGTAGCCCATAGGGCTAGCTTGCCTTTATTATATTCACTGCCTTGCCTTCATTATATTCCAGGCTTGGCCAAACTTGCTGACTGTCTGAGCCGCATATGACAATCTTCAGAAGTCTGAGAGCTGGAGCGTGCCTGCCAGGGCTCAGGGTTTCAGCCCCACTCCTGCTGAAGCCCCGAGCCCCAGCAAGTGCACCCCATGGGCCTGAAGCCCCAAGACCCCCTGCCTTGCTTGGCAGAAGGCAACATATGAGGGGGGTTCATGGGGTCACATGCCTGCCCCCGCCCCCAGATTTTTGCCAGGGTTTGCTGGCCCCACTTGGTTACATGGCGCTGCTGGCCTCTCTCCTTGCATGGCAGCTGCTGGAGCCAGCAAGCAGGGAGCTGTGGCCGTGGGAAGAGGCAGTGACAAACAGCTGGGAAATGCAGGGAGAGCTGCTGCCTCTCCCTGAGGAGCTAAATCAGCGGTCCCTCCCTGAAGCTGTTTGCTGCTGTCTCTCCACATGGACCTAACACCTGGGAGCTGCAGGGAGGGGCTGCTGAGGGAAAGAGGAGGAGCAGGCCTGGGGGGGCATGACACAAGCTGTTGGATGGGGCCGAACCTTTAAATTGTGCCCTCCCCCCCACACACACTTTCAGCAGGCACCAGTCATCTCTGGCAAAAGCCCATAGCCCCACCACTCTGCCTCAGGGCAGAAGCCTCGAGCTCCCCCCACCCCAGTCTGATAGTGGGAGAATGGAGGGGAGTATGGGGGGCTCTGCAAGCTGCACTTTAACTGTAAAAGAGCCACAGGTGGCTCGCGAGACACGGTTTGGCCACACCTGTTATATTCTGCCTTTATTATATTCAGCAGTAATGCAAGGAACCTACAGGCCTGTATTCCGTAAGACTTTGGCTTCAGCAGTGAGCACGAAGCTTGAGGCCTATGAACTATGGCACAGATAAATGACCCAACGGGAACCCATAAGTTTTGGGGAACTGGAAATAAGAGTTCCAGGGGGAATTCTGTCCACACAGCTAGCCACAAAAAAATGTGCTAACATCAGCTTTTCGAAAGTTTTGGAAAGAACATCCAATTGCAAGATTGCCATGGCAATGAATTGACGCATATATAATATGTTGAAATCATTAATCTACTAACCTATAAAAGAACACCTCAACATTAGTAGGATGAGAAAATACAAATAAGGAAGAGGGGAGAAACCCCTACTGAATATACATTAGACATGGTGGAGTCAGCATAACATATTATAAAGGTTACATCCCAACCAGTGGGCAGTGAAAGAGAGAGATGTAGTCCTTGGAAGATGCCAGAATGATGGCCACTGATGATGATGAAGATAATGGCTAGTATTTCAGGTTGTTCTGCAATGGATGGTGTGAATATGGATATTTAGATGTATTTTCTGTATTATATTATTATTTATCTTATTGAGTTGGAGTGTTTGTGACTTTGCTAAATGTATTAATAAATTACCGTAAATATAGAAAAGTTCCTATAGTGTTCATGTTGCAACTATGCACATCAGAGTTCCCAATTATATAATAATTTTAATACTATTGGGCCTGACCTTGGGACAAGAACCTATCAACCCTCAAAGTGATAACTGGGAATTCTTATGTAATCAATATAATTAATACATAATCTATAGATCAGGCTACAATTCCCATCTTGTGACAGCTTCTGTGTATCCTAGAGAAATACAATTTTAGTTACCAATTATGTGACCTACCTTCTATGCTAAGATTACCATTCTGTTGTGTTGTGCCTTTAAACAGAAATCTATACTTGGTATCCTTAATTACTTGACTAGAGAGGACACTTCTGTGAGGCTGCTTGATGTCAGAATCAGACTTAAGCGAAAAAGGACTTAGTACAGCCTTGCAAAATTTTATTAGCTTAACAACGACAAACAAATCAATGGGCAAGCAAAATATGAGTTCACTTTTCATTATCTTGGGGTAAATAGATTTGGTGTCTGATAAATGTAGGGCTGGTACATTTTCATAACAATTTTGTAAGGCTGATTTATTCCAGTCACAGTTCTAAGGCAGATACAGTCCACTCAGTTTCTATAATGATATGTTCAATGAGAAAACCTAAACGGTTTCTGCACAGACAAACAGAACCAATGGAGCAAGGGCTATTTATGAGAAAAATGGAAACAGCCTTGAAAAGTTATGAAAGTTTGACAGCAGTTACTTCACTCAGTCTTATTTTATTAGAAATTACAATGTCATGTGGCACCTTAAAGACTAACAGATTTATTTGGGCATAAGCTTTCGTGGGTAAAAACCTCACTTCTTCGGATGCATAAGCTATGCACATCCGAAGAAGTGAGGTTTTTACCCAAGAAAGCTTATGCCCAAATAAATCTGTTAGTCTTTAAGGTGCCACCAGACTTGTTGTTTTTGTAGATACAGACTAACACGGCTACCCCTTGATACTTGACACGTCATGTGTTTTTCAATTAGGTTCATGTCTAGTCTTCACTTCCAGTAGGTCTCTACATACAGCCTTGCTTCTTCGATGAAATTATAAGGATTTTTTTTCTTTTCCTCTGAAGCGTAAGCTATGTGGCACAGAGTCAAGATGCCAGGCTTGGTGGGGCAAAGGTCTGGATCCAATAGGACATGCGTTCTCAACTTGGGGTTCATTACTACCCTTCCTTTCCCATATTGCTATGTGGGACAGGGCATCCCAGTAGGTACAATTTTGAGCACCACTGAAATATGGCAATTCCTATGAAAAATTTGGAGTTAAAGGTAACAGGACAGAAAATCTTAAAAATACAATATATTTAAGGGAAATGATTATTGCATTTTCCTAAACAAATGCTCTTACTTTATCTTCTACCTAAAGTGAACATGGCTATACCACCTATGAATGGAGAGAAACATACTAACAAACACTCCTCCTTGAATATTCTCAAGTGCTGCACCAAGCCAATAATTTACATTTTTAATACTCAGTATAGCTTAACCACAAAAGAAGAAACAGAAAAAACAGTCATGATAATTTATTATTGATCAAGATTGTAGTTCTAAGTTCTAGTACAAATATTTACACTAAGAATCCAACATAGTCATAAAATTTCTCAGTGAGAACAAAAATTTTTTAATTCCCACGACACTGACCCTGGCTACACAGTCTTATTGAACACTATGTAAGTTTCCAAATTCCTGCAGGAAAACTGTGGTGAAACTATGTTATGCGCTACAAACATTTAACAGGTTTCAGAGTAGCAGCCGTGTTAGTCTGTATCCGCAAAAAGAACAGGAGTACTTGTGGCACCTTAGAGACTAACAAATTTATTAGAGCATAAGCTGCATCCGAAGAAGTGGGCTGTAGCCCACGAAAGCTTATGCTCTAATAAATTTGTTAGTCTCTAAGGTGCCACAAGTACTCCGATTCTTTTTGCAAACATTTAACAGTATAGCCTAAAAAGTTTTTAGAAGGAAAATCCTCATTCATAAAAACATCCACATGCGGTATCCAGTGCACAATATATGAAGTCACTCACTATACCTGACGTACAAATATTGAATAGTTTTAGGTCGCTTTATCATCATGAAGCTGCTTGTATTAATTTGAAGAACATATTTTGAAATAATAAACACAAAAGCATTTGTTGAAAACAGTTTTCCTTACCACAGAAAGGTGTTAATTCGTACCCTGTTCTTATAAATTAGTATTCCTCCTGACATCACTCCAATCATAATTTCATTGTTACTTTGATCCTTTAAAAGAGAACAAAACAATACATTCAACACAAAACAATTAAAATATATATTGTAGAAAGCCATATATATTTTATATATGATCATCCACATCCCCTCTCACATACACACACACCAAAATCATATCTTAATTAACCTATTGGGGCAAGTTATTAATGCAATGAACATTTAATGGTACAGTTCCTATTAACCTGAGCTGAAAATTTACCCCATTTTTTCCCTTCACTATTAGGAAGTACTCCCCTCACAAATGCAATTTATCTTTCCTTTTCTACCTAACCCTCTGTTCTCACTGCTAAATCTCTGTTCCATGCCCTTTTCACTTACCTAGACTACAGTAACTGTCTCCCTCACTCTAATCTATATGCACTCTAGTACACATGGTGCCCAGCAACTGAAATTATCTTCTTTGCATGTCACTCCAATCCTGTGAACCACTACCTTAACTTCCTTCCCCATTCAACATGGGGTTCCAACTTACCACTTGCAAGACTTTACACAGTGCCTTCCCTGTTTATATCATAGCCTTTGTCTCTTCCTCCTCCCATAATTCCAATTTTTTTAATTGTAATAATGACAAACTAAAGAGTGTTCAAATGCTACAGTGATAAGTAATAATTATGAAAATGTCTAAAAGCAAAAATCCGAGATTCTTAGCCGCTATGGCAGGCTCTAAAGGGAAAGTGCACATTCCTGCAGTTTGTCTCATAGGCCCACTATCCTTTTTAGATTATGACACTTTTAATATTGATTTAGTAATTTAAACTGAGGTAATCCATTCTCTGGAAGAATGCATCTTTTTTTCAGTTTTACACAGATACTCCTATTCTTGTCTTCTAATGGAATTAACTGCTTAAATAGCCTTGAAATAGAAGGTAACTTATTGGAAGTAGTTGTAGTAGTGAAAATTACCTAAAAGAAATATATTACACAATGTATCCAAACACCGATGATTATGAATCACAGGCTCAGTAAACTGACTTGGTAGCAATCCAACAGTAAACTCAACTAACAACTTATACTCATACGTGAAAGCAAGTTGCAATTTCAGTACTTAGGGCATTGTCTACACTACAATCGCTACAGTGGCACGTGTGTAGTGTTGCAGCTATGCGGATATAGCATAGATACTTACTACAGAGACGAAAAGGGTTTTTCTATTGCTATAGTAAATCTACCTCCTTGAAAAGCAGCAGCTAGGTCGAACGAAGAATTCTTCCATCATCCTCGCTGCATCTATTGTGAGAGTTAGGTCGACCTAACTATGTCACACAGGGCATAAAATTGTTTACATCCCTGAGTGACGTAGCTAGGTCAACCTAAGTTTTAGGTTTGGAGGTGGGAGATCCTAGCACAAATAAGACTTTTGCTATTTCAAACCATACTTTGCTAAAAATGTTTCTGCACTCTATCAAATGCCTGCTATATCCCAACATGTGTATAAGCAAGGATTGGGTGCATCCATATAATGTAAAAGTTGCAAATACTTGAAATCCTATTTAGCACGTTTCTTTATGTAGAATTAAGATCAGAAATCAGAACACATGACTTGTTTTTAATAGAAGAATCCATGCTGTTTGAAGATTATAGTTTTAAGTAAAATGTAAATCTGTGTTGGTGGGGCTTCAAGAGACAGATGGGAAATTGTTCCTACGAATGACCTACTTACAAATGATGCATTTTAACATATTGACAAGAACTTAGATAATGAACTCTTAGATACACACTTGGATATTGGCCATAATCTGCATTGTCCATTTTAAAAGTGTATTATTGCCCTGGTTGCAATGATGTAACCTTCACAATATTAAATTATACAAAGGTTTATGGAACTTGCAACTTAAGTGAGATAGTAAATGTGAGAACTTCCCATTCAGTTTAATAGGATATTAACTGAAGCCAAATTAAAACTTCAGAAGCCAAAAGTTCCCTAAATGCCAAAGAGACATTCAACAAGCACATTTATCCAATACAGTTGCAAATAACTGGCACAGCCTGATGTTCACCTTACTTAGCCTCAGACTGAGCAAGGTACTTAATCATTTGTGTAACTTTAAGCATGAAGTCAAATAAGGGCTACTCAAATTGCTGAAAGTTAGGCCCATGACTGAGTACCCTGCTGAATTAGGGCCTTGAACATTATACTCAAATTATACTAAACTGTTCCTGAAAATATCATGAATCTACTTTTATATTATGGTATGAATTCATTCAAACTTACTCTTGCATAGTGCAATTCAACTCCATAGAGTTCTAAGGTACGTGCTGTATTGAGATAATTGAACTCAGCTTCTGCAGGAGACAAGCCTCTATAACGACAAAGATGGGTTAAATACGAAGCAGCCCAAAAGTACGTAAAATATCCAGGTCCCTTAGTCAGCTCAAGCAGATTTTAAAAATTCATTACTTTAACCTCATTTTTTCTGATAAACTAACTCCCCCTTGACTCCACCATATACATTGATTGTCATGCAGCAACTTTGGTAGCTAGAGATTTAAGCACTTTCCTCACAGATATTTGTTAATTAGTTGATTGGTCTCCACATGTGTACACTCACAATTCTGCCTGTTCTGCCTCCACACAACAAAAATGTCATTAAATGAAGTCTGCAATACATACTCTGCACATATATATGTTTATTTCAAATGGCACAGTGAAAGGTGCCTTAAAGGGCCTGAAAACCTTTGAGTTGGCAGTGAAGTCTCTAGAAACTGCTCTTGCAATTAGTACTACGTTTCGAATTGAAATAATATCTTCTCTGCAGGGTCCACCCTAGATTTTAATATTTGTACAATCACCGAGTTTGAATTGTTTGTTTTTCCTTACTCCCCCAACCTTTTTAATTTGCTATATGTTTGACTGAAACTGAGCAGTGTAGACAGTCACTAATTGGCAATTTTGGTAGTTGCTAAAGTCACCAGTAATCCCCTATCTGTAATAAATAAATGTGTTAACGGAGTACAACCCTTGTTAAACATTTTAGTGCCTATTTCCTAACATACTAATAGACTCTTTTTAACTGAAAGTTTATCAACTGTATATTATTACACAAATTAGGACATTTACTTTCAATGATTCTTTTGTTTCATATCCTTTTGGCTCTGTAGTAGAAAGTCATACAACTGCATAGAACTGATAAAATCTGATGAATTGCAAAACTGCTTTATCTACTTCTGAGAGAGACAAGGCAATGAGGTAACATCTCTTGTTGGACCAACTTCTGTTGGTGGAAGGTAAAGGTTTCAAGCTTTGCAGAGCTCTTTTGCTGGTTCGGGGAAGGTAACTAGAATGTTTGAGCTAACTACAAGTTGGGACAAACTATTAAGCATAAGGGGTTAAATCATGCTGTAAGATACCACTTAAAATGAAGAGGTCGATTAAGGGTTAGCAGGCAGCAAGATGTATTAAAAATTGTTGTAATGAGCCATAAAACTAGTCTCTCTGTTGAGTACATAGTTTTTAGTGTGTAACAGAATTATGAATTTAATTTCCCACGCTTGCCTTTTGAATGTTTCCATTGAGGACGAGTACTGAGAGGGCCGATATGGAGTGGTCATTTTGTGAAAAGTGTTTACCCATGGTGATAGGGTGTTTTTGGTTTTTTATCATTTTACTGTGAGAGTTCATTCAAGAGCATAGGAATTGTCTGGTTTCGCCAACACTGCTGTTGTTGGGATATTTGACACACTGGATGAGGTGCATCACAGAGTGATGGGCACGTGCAAGACCTATGAATCTTGAAAGGTGTGTTGTGGGGGGGCAATGATCATCACAGCCGTGGAGATATGTCTGCAGCTTTTGCATCTGTTCTGTTGGCGGGTGCTGCGGGGAGCTTGCTTAACTAGGTTGGGGGGTTCATTGAAGGCCAGAATAAGGGGTTCGGGAAAGATCTCTTTCAGGATGCAGACAAATATGAGTTGTAATTGTTTGATGATACCCTATATGGGTTCCAATGTCGGATGGTAAATGACAACTAGGGGTATGCGGTCAGTGCGGTATTTATTTCTGTGTTGAAGCAAGTCCTCCCGTAGTATTTGGGTGGCCTATTACATAATGTGATCTACTTCTCTGGTGGTGTGCCCTTGTTTAGTGAAGGCAGTTTTAAGTGTGTTTAGCTGTGTATCCCAGACTTTGTCTTCAGAGCAAATTCTGTAGTATCTGAGTGCCTCGCCACAGATAACAGATTCCTTTGTATGTCTGGGATGGTTGCTGGATCGGTGGAGTGTGTAAGAGTGGTGATCTGTAGGTTTCTTGGATAGAGCTGTTTGGAGGGTTCTACTGTTGAAGTTGATTGTGGTATCCAGGAAGTTGATGTTGGTGTGGGAGTGTTCTAGAATGGCTGTTGAAGTTGTGGGGGAAATCTATCAAGGAATTTAGGTCATCTGTCCAGAGGATGAAAATATCATTGATGTATCTCAGGCAAATCACTAGTTTTGTGGTGCATTTTCCCTGAAATTCTTCCTTGAGATGGCCCATGAAGAGGCTGGCATACTGGGGAGCCACCTAGTACCCATGGTTTGGACAAAGTGTTTGTTAAATGTAACGGCAGTGATGCTATCATGGTGACAGATGTTGGTGTGTAGGAAGGTGACATCTGTGGTGGCATGGATGGCACTCTGAGGGAGGCCGTTAATGTTGTGGAGTTTTTGGAGGAAGTTGGCAGTGTCTTGGAGGAAGCTGCCTTTTGCATCGCGAATGGTTCGAGGATGGTTTCTATGAGTCCTGATATTTCTTCCGTGAAAGTGTCATGGCCAGATACGATGGGTCTGTCTGGGTTCCCTTTTTTGTGCATTTTGGGAAGCATGTAGACGGTTACTGGGGTGGGAGAGGAGGGGTTGATGAGGTTATGGAGTTTTTCTTGGAGTTGCCTGGGGAAGGAGTTGATAGTATCTTTAAATTCCTGTGTGAATTGTGTTTTTTATGCTAGGTGGTGTCAGAGAGTCATCTGTTGGCCTCACTGATGTAGTCATTATGATTAACGACTATGATGGCGCCTCCTTTGTCTACTGATTTGTTCACTATTTGATGGTTGGATTTCAGGGACTGTACAACAATCCTTTGGATGGTAGAGAGATTGTGTGGATATAATATTTGTTGAGGAGTTCAGTCAATTTTTCTCTGAAAGTAATCAATGTAATGATCAAGTATGTGGTTTCTTCTGCTGTGTGTGTGTTTGTGTGCAGTCAGATGATTACCTTTTCTTATGACTGTCAACGGAAGTGTGGTAGTTGTGGGTGTTGTCGTCTTTGTTGTGAAAGAATTCCTTGAGGAAGAGTCATCAAAAGAATTCTTCTCATTCTCCACATGTTAGTACGTTATCATGTTCTGTGGTGGGGCAGAAATTCAGTCCCTTGGAGAGTACAGATACTACCGTATAGATTAGAAGTAGTCTTGATAGGTTGATGATGGGGTGTTGTTTAATGTCCATGTGATAGGTTATGGTATCTTGATTTCTCCCAGAGGTGGTGTTGTTGGTTGTGAAGTTGTTATAGTTAGTTCCACTTTTTGTTTTGGTGTTGTTGGCTGTCATCAGATTTTTTTTGTTGGTTATTTGGGGTTTCCTGATTTTTTTTCTTCCAGTGTGTGGGAGCATGTGATGATTTCTTGTTTGAAGTGGTCCCTTCTGGAATATGTAAAAGTTCAGGAGATGGTTCCTCAGTTTTTCTGACATTTTTCTGGTGAATCCTCTGGAAATTATGTTTTGTTTGTTGAATCTGCTCAGGAAGTGACTGTCACTGTTCAGTCTGGCTTCCTCCTTCTCTATGTTGTGAAGGTTCCATTTTAAATGGCAAAATTTGATATCTTCCATAGTTATTTACAGTGTTATTGTAGCCATCTTGGTCCCAGGATATGAGCGAGACAATATAGTTGAGATAATATCTTTTATTGAACCAACTTCAGTTGCTGGAGGTACATGCTTTTGAAGTTCACAGAGCTCCTCTTTAATATACTTCTAAACATATATATATACACACACACACACTCCTCTACAGTAATTCCCTGTTGCTGGTAAAGGCAACATACACAGAAACCTTATGCAGACAGATCATTACGAATGACTGAAGACTTTTCTTAAAGAACCCAAAATTTCCTATAAAAATTCACACACTACTATAGAAAAAAAGTCTCATATATATCCTTTCTTCAAAGTAATTTTAAAGATTAGCACACTCATTCTGAATCTTCCCTCTTCTCCAAACTGCAGCAATACTTTATATAAAGACATGTAAAAATACTGCATTGTAAAAATTCACCTGTTAAGTTTATTCAGGCAATATTTCTACAAAGGCACAGCATCTGTAGACAGTGATATTATAAAATAAGAATAATTTTTTTCTGTAAATTCTTACATATGCTGATGATGTAATTTCGCTATTTCTTTTTCAAAGTCTTGAGGCTGGCTAGGGATGAAAGAGTAGTCTGAGAGGTAGCCTGGCAAGTTTTCTGAATGGTTGTAGTCTCCCAATTCAGCTAAGAGATTGAAGGGAAAGATTATTACGTGTTTAGTGCAAACAACATATTCAGCATTGTATAATACCCAAAGTTTAACACAGACTTGGCCCCAAACACCTTATTATGATCTAGAACAGACAAAGAAGACAGAAGTTTGAATTCACCTTGTTTCCTTAACATGAGTTATAAGCTCAGTCGGTATCACAGAAGAAGTTTTTAAAAAGGACTTGAATGACAAAAAGGTTCTGGCTTGGCAAAATGGTTTATGAAATGTTCATGTTATAATGTACTTAACTTACTTACCACCTATATCATGATTAACTCTAAATAAACAGAATTTTGTTGCTCCAGGGTATTTCTGCAATCAAATACTGTTTGTGTGTGTCCACGTTTTCATTTCATTATGAGGACTCACTTTTTCAATCTTTCCAAAACCTGTTATAATTTTATCTTCTAGAATATAAGATTTGCAAAAATAACGTAATGCATTCTTGCCGAGGTATTTCCAAAAGCACAAAAAAATTGCTTATTTTTATATCAGCTCATATCAGTTTATTCAAACAATTGAAGATTAGAATTATAGAAATTTATCACAATTTTTCAAATGATGTTTTATAATTTTATCACATTAATTAAGATCACAGCTCCTGCATTATTAAATCTAAGATCTATGACCAATTTTAACAAACAAAATGGGTAGGATTGCTAAAAAGTTAGGCTTTGAGAGCATGACTATAATTGGAGAGTACTGAAAACCAGTTTTAAAAATCAACTTCAGATATTGTAACTGATTTATTGTTTTGGAGAAGCAGCACATTTAGTTAAAGACTGTCCCTGTACTATTTCCTTATAGCTAGGGCCCTACCAATTTCACAGCCATGAAAAACATGTCATGGACCGTGAAATAAGCCCTTCCCCATTAAATCTGATGTCCCCTTGTTCCTAGGAGTGCCCCAGCAAAGGGGACTCCTAGCTCTGGTTGGGCAGCGGAGGGACAGGACTTGTCCATTTCCTGCACAGCTGCTCTGGAGGGGGGTGACCAGACCCACATCTGGGTGCCACCCCCTGCTGCAGGATGCTCTTGGACTGGGCAGGAGCTGCAGAGGTTCCTGCAGCTGGAGACTTGTGGAGCTGTGTCCAATCTTCCCTGTGCTGCTGGGAGTGCCCCAGCAAAGGGGGCTCCTAGCTCCGGCTGGGCAGGGAAGGGACAGGACTTGTCCATCTCCTGCACAGCTGCTCGGGGGGTGGGGGAGGGGAGAGGGAGAGGGAGGAGGACAGATCAGACCCACCTCCAACTCCGGAAACCTCCTGCGGCTGCAGGAAGCTCTGCGGTTGCTGCCTTCAGAGTTCAGCTCTGAAGGCTGCACAGAAGTAAGGGTGGTAATCCCATTACCCTCCTACAACACGTTTGCGACCAGCCCACACAATCCCCCTTTGGGTCCGGACTCCCATGGTTACAACACAGTGAAATTTCAGATTTAAACATCTGAAAACCTGAAATTTACCAATTTTCAAATCCTATGGCTGTGAAATTGACCATAATGGACCGTGAATTTGGTAGGGCCCTATTTATAGCTATTGTGTATACATATTTATAAAGTGTTCCATATGCTAAAGCCTCTGGGACCATAAAATATCTCACATATAAACATAATGGAGAAGATTAAGGTTGTACTTTTAAGCATTCAAATATCAGGCAATGTCAACAGTAAGATTGCATGTGCAAACCTAACTTAGCCTGATCCTGGAAGGCAGCCTTCTGAGGCTACATGGGGTATAAATACCGCCTCCTCCCCCCTCCACACACACACACTCCTCCAGTGAGCAGGACGAGCAATGCAGTGTCCTTCTCCTGACCTGGCCCCAACTGCTTCATGCCCTTCCTATCCATCCCTGTAAACTTACCCCATGTCCCCATCTGCTGTAAGGGAACCCGTAGATGGTCAACACCCCTTTTCTTCCAGCTAGTTAGACAAAGACCCCCTGAACCAATGTTCCCTCTAATTTTTTCCATCCATGTGCAGAATGAATTTCGTTATGTGCACCATATCGAGGTAATATGCAGATGTGCGCCACCAGTAGAAACCAAAAATCTAGATATAATATACCTTTTAAAAAAATTACCTTAGGGATAATTACTCCAGCCAGGACAGGTTAGACATTTTAGAACTCACGACTTAAAGAATTAAATTTAAGCGTAAGAGAGAAATAAAAATTATGAAATGCATACACCAGTCAAAAAACTAAAATAACACACTTTGAAAGAAGTATCAAGAAGTAACAACAAAACCACAAGTATGTGTTGGAAGGTGAGTGTGAAAGACTGTGTGTGTATGTGTGTCAGAGACGCGCAGCATGTGTGACAAAGAGACATGCACGTTACCCCTTTAAGTACGCTGACCCCACTTTAAGTATGCTTCCCTTTTAAGTAGATGAGCAAGTTCAGACACAGCAGCAGCTGCCATCAAGCTCCATCTGTCCTGAGCCCTGTCGTGTCCCTCCACCCCTGCTCTGTGGAGATGGGGTACAGGGGAGTGGGGGGGGGCAGCGGACACCCTGACATCAGCACCCTTCTCCCCTCCCCCAGCCCTGCTTCGCACAGCAAGCAGGAAGCTTCCAGGAGCAGCTCCAAGGCAGAGGGTAGAAACAGCACACAACAATGGGGGAAGGGATACCTGAACGGCGCGGCCCTTGATAGCCTGCTGGGCGGCCGCCCAGACGTGCAGCTTACAGGGAACTTAGCCCTTAACTTGCATGAAGGATGCAATGGGCACATTCATTACAATACAGTCAGATTACATGATAATTTCTGAAACACATTAAACCAGGGATCGGCAACCTTTGGCACGCGACTGGGCTGGTTTTTCCCCCCCCCCCCCCCCCCGATGATTGCTGTGGGCAGGAGGCAGGGGGAAGGTGCTGATCCACGGGGTCCACCGGCAGGCGGGAGGCACTGGGGAGGGGAGATGTAGGGGAGCTGACAGGGGGGCTGCCAGCCTGTTTAATATCTGTATTAAATTGCTTGTTTAAAATTGTATCAGAGGGGTAGCCGTGTTAGTCTGAATCTGTAAAAAGCAACAGAGGGTCC